GGATTTCAAATGGTTTTATTTTCCTATATTCGTAAATTGAAAGAACTTTTTAAATGATTATCAGAAAATAAACAGTCTCTTCCGACTTTAAAGTGCTGTCTCGAGATTTCCAGTAAACAAGGAGAAACAGCACGGGGAGCCTGGTTGGCGTCTGCTGCGGTCTCCCAAGGGTCAATGCCCCCACAGACACCAGTAATGCAATGGGCTTCACAACGGTCGTGGAAAATCCTCTTTCCATTCTACTTTCTAAGACCACGTTGAAGCCCCTTGGTTTACCCTGGTGCTCTTGTGAACACACAAGCACAGATCACTGCGAACCCGCAGTAATTACTCAAACGTCAGCTGCCACGGAGTCAGCTCTGTAACATGGTGAACAACAGGAATAAATGTTGCCTGGTCATGACGGGTTATGGAGTGGACCACTGTGACCCACGGGTTTTTCACAATAATTCACCAGCTCTTTCTTCCTCATGTCTCTTAGTCTGGAAGACGCACTGGCAGGAAACCACCCGTCTGACCCTGCAACTCCCCTCAGCATAATTCACAGCAAACCCTAAATGCTGCCAGCCATCGGTCTTGGAGGTTAGACACAGACAGGAAAGCCACAGTAACAGCCCTGGGTCGGAGACGAGGAAGGCGCCCAGAGCTCGCCCAGCCATAGACATTACCAGGTCTGTGTTCATGACCAGAGGCGGTAGACGTGCTGAGGACAGGATTGGGTCTCCACTCCCGGCATCAGCAATGCAGCAAATCCCCAAACATGGTACGTTCACCCTGGGAGCTGAGGCAGCCCCCACTGAACACCCAACACCCATGGCTGTCCAGTGCCAGGGTCACATGGGACGTCCCCTTCTGTCCTACCCAGGGCCTCACCTGAGCCTCAACCTGGCCTGGGTCCCAGAGGAGGTTCTCCAGTGAGGGAGTGACGTCCGCCCTTCCTACACCTGCCTCAAAGGTCAAGGACGCCTTCACATGCTAACAACACACTGATGGCTTCCAAATCTAAGCCTGGACTGGCCTGGCTCCACTTTCCTGTCACCTCATTTATCATTAGGACACCTTTCCTGTGGGGATCCCTGCTCTGTCCTGTCCCAGAGGGGGGACCCTGCTCTGTCCTGTCCCACAGGGGGGACCCTGCTCTGTCCTGTCCCATGGGGGGACCCTACTCTGTCCTGTCCCACGGGGGGGACCCTGCTCTGTACTGTCCCATGGGGAGAACCCTGCTCTGTCCTGTCCCTGCTCTGAGCACTTCATAAAAGGAGCAAGTGCTCCTTCCTTCACGGAGCTCCTCCCATACCTCTCTATCATTTCACTTACAACACAAGCACAACTTGTGTTGGCAGTTCGAATCCACGTAGAGGTGCCTAAGATGACAGACTTGGCCACCTTCTTCTGAAAGCTCAGCCTTGGAACGCCACCAATTGGAATAAACTCCACAGCAAAAGACTGTTACAATATTGTGTCACTACAGGTGCAAACGGTGAGCCCGCTCAGTCTTTTACCCAGAGGCTGGAGTTCAAGTCCACCCCGAGGCAGCTCAAAGGAAAGGCCTGGTGATCTGGTTCTGAAAACTCAGCAATTTCAAACCCTGCGGCACACACCGTGTACATGAGTCAGGTGCTACGGCAAGTACAAGGGCAAAGATGAAACTGACGTTCTCCATGGACTGTAACCTGTCACCACATCAACAGATTCAACCGTTCCACAGTCAGGAAGGTGATGCGGGACCGGGGTACGCCTGAGTCAGAGCCGGGACAGCATCAACAACAAGCAAGCATACAAAATGTCATTTATTACAAGACAGGATTCAGGGAAAGCAAAACAAAATCAGCATTAGAGAGAGAGAGGGCAGACTCACTTAGGTGTATAACCCTAAAGGGAGAGAGGGCAGACTCACTTAGG